GTGTACGAACTTGAAATGGAACAATTTTGCAACCAAATACGTAGAAATCCGGAAAGCAGGGAAGCAAATGATTCCATTTTAATAGTATATATCTAGTATCTTACTAGTATACTTATGATACTGGTACTTCAATAACGTTATCAGATATATGAGTATATTCACTATACTTTATTCGTCTTAATTATATAGTAAACATGTCATTAGCGCGCTAATATAATTATAATGGAACCAAACATCGAACAAGTGGAAGAAGCAGTATATTAATATGGGTTTACAATCGAGTGGTAAGAGACGGGCTTGCGTCTATTTTCCCACATGTACCACTCACAAAAAGACCTCAACATAAACCATCGATTTTGAGACCTCGGGACTGTGTTTAGAGATTTTAACGGTATTTTTCTATACAATACTGGTTGACTAAACTACAATTTTCTATTGATCTGCAACCGTTATAACTTCACATCTTTAAATCAAATGAATCAGAATCAGTTTACCTTGACGGAAACTTAAAAGTTTTGGCCCATTCTTTGTTGTTTTGCAGCACTTTCACTTTTATCGAGTCATCTGAAGCCTTTGTTAACCTTGCTGGATCAGGATACAAGTCATCGGGACTGTACGCAATCCCCACGAGCTCATCTTTATCTAAAGTCATAGGTTCAGGACCCTCCTTCACACCAGACGTACCGGGCGCTATAAATATACATATGGAATACATATGACGATACTTGGACAAGTGTTAGAATTTTTGGTGCATAAAATTGACTATAGAATCAATTTGATTTCGAATATTTAAAGCATGGATTGCAATGAATGTAATGTAAAAGTTTGAAATCATACTGTCCTTGAATCTTGAAAAGTTTAAACAAAATTAAAAGTTACAATTGTTGTCATCATTAACTATACATGTATAACTTAACATGTACTGACTATTGTTTGTAGCTTTTTATGTTAAAAGCATGTTAAAGTAAACATACATGTACTAGGCTCGGTTGCATCGGTGCCTTTTTCAGACAGCCCAGTTTTTGGACCTACGCTGAAGAAGCTGTCAATTCTCTTCTGTGCCATATTTCTTGCGTAATTAGAACCTGGAAGAATAAATTGTGGCTCCGTACATGTATGAAATCGGAATACTTTTGACCTTTATGCGCTTCCGTAGATGAAAAAAATGACGAGCGTTGTGTTTACCAGAAATGTTTTTTTCATAAAAATTCCATGTATCAATATAACTAATCTACCAAGAAGGAACTATTTCAAAAATGCAGAGTAACTAATACGACAAATGCACCAGAATTTTTCACATTTGCATCATGAATTCACTGATTAAGGTTGGTTAGTTCAAAATGTTGTCAGTCTCGCTAGAATCGGTTCACAGACATGGTCAAACATGTCATTACTCAACAAACAGACCGAAACAAATAAACACTAGGCATACATAGTAACATTTTAGTTATAATTACCTCTTTTCTATCGCTGATTCTGCTGATGACTTTTTTAAGAACTCGATGTAAACATTTGTTTACATTTCGAAAATACGGCGCGTGCAAACTTCCGACTTTGAAGAGCTGCAAAGGCCGACAACTTTTCAAAAAAATACTACGGTATGGTGTACGATTTAGGCTATATGATTTATAAAGTATTCAGTGTGGTAATTATCAGATCTGGCGAACGCGCTGAATTTCAAACCACATTTTTTTTACTAAAAAAATTTTTTGTTGTCAAAATAATGTGGATTCAGCTGCGTACTCGCGTATAGGCAGCTACGCGCCTGGCAATATTATTTCAAAAGGCCTAGTATGTATAAGTTTGTTCAATTACTCAAAATCGAAAACACAAAAGAACTTAATAATTTAAGAAAGTATTCATCACTAGCGTTTAAACGTAGAGCAGATTTATTAAGAGGTCATCAATAGAACAGGTCATGTTAAGATACATGTTGTATATCAGTTTATTGAATACAAATTATGTAATATACCATGATGATGAGGATGGTGTGTGCGAGTTAGTGTGAGTGTTCTTGAGGATGAGGATGATGTGTGCGAGTCAGTGTGAGTGTTCTTGAGGATGAGGATGATGTGTGCGAGTTAGTGTGAGTGTTCTTGAGGATGAGGATGATGTGTGCGAGTTAGTGTGAGTGTTCTTGAGGATGAGGATGATGTGTGCGAGTCAGTGTGAGTGTTCTTGATGATGAGGATGATGTGTGCGAGGCAGTGTGAGTGTGTCCTTGTGAGTGTCTTTGTCTTGTCTGTAAAAGTTGTAAAACTTCAGCAAATAAAGAACTTGGGTGTGCGCTGTTGTTTTGTTGTTCCATTTGACAAAACATTAATCAGAGGTGTCTGCCCCGAAGAAGAGAGAAAGATATTTTATTAACATAAAAGAACATTTTTGTAATAGAGTGTCTCCCCACCCCCCCTTTCCCGTTACGGAAGGTAGTCTCTGAGAAGTAATCAGTACTATAGTACTGGTAGCGATAATTACAGGGATTAGTAGCGGTATCGGGAGGGATCTAACTGTAGTATGTATACCTGATACAGAATAAAACAAATCAAGAGTTACCTACCACCTTACTCATCTTTGAATCAACCAAAATAATTTAATTTTGATGTTTTACTTAACTTTTTAAAACATAATTTAAATGTACATTGTAATTGTTCAGAAAACACTCAAGTATATTTCATTCAGTTCTGTGATAGTATGATACCGTTGTTATATGATTATTAATGTAATCTGTACACCTGCGTATATCGATTTTATTTAATATACAACTACAATGTATACGCTTTTTCCTACAGGTACTGTGCTTGTTTCAAACACAGAAGTGTCTAACTATGCGCTGATGTGTAATCAAAGCTCCACTAATCCCTGATTGGCCTGACACGTAGTTATTTGACGTGAAGCGATTGTCGGTAGTTACGTACGTGTACCAACACTGCACTACATTTTCACGGTCATTTCTGATCGGAATCTGCTACTGTAGCAGTTGTACCTACTTTGTTAAGTCAATTTTGATTGCTCCTTGCTCTTGTACCAGATTTTTGATTGGAGATATATGGGTGAGAGTGAGTGGATGGGAGAGAGTGAGTGGAATGCAGTGTGGGAGAGTGAGTGGATGGGAGAGAGAGTGGATGGGAGAGAGAGTGAGTGGATGGGAGAGAGAGTGAGTGGATGGGAGAGAGAGTGAGTGGATCGGAGAGAGAGTGAGTGGATGGGAGAGAGAGTGAGTGGATGGGAGAGAGAGTGAGAGGATGGGAGAGAGAGTGAGAGGATGGGAGAGAGAGTGAGAGAATGGGAGAGAGAGTGAGTGGATGGGAGAGTGATCATGAGTGGATGGGAGAGTGAGAGGATGGGAGAGAGTGAGTGGATGGGAGAGAGAGTGAGTGGATGGGAGAGAGAGTGAGTGGATGGGAGAGTGAGTGAGTGGATGGGAGAGAGAGTGAGTGGATGGGAGAGAGAGTAAATGGAATGCAGTGTGGGAGAGTGAGCGTGTCAAGAGAGAGAGAGAGAGAGTAAAACTTTTTTAACTTCAATCGGGAAATCGAAGGCAAGTGCGGCAAATGCGTTATCCACTGCCCCACCCAACCATGCCTTATTTTGAACCCCATAGAAACCGAATGTAAATAGTCTCGAAATAATGTTGATCGAAAATGGCGATCGTTGTGCCAGCATAAAAGAAGTTATCATAAACCTTATTGGAAATATGCTTTTAGGAAAAGTAAGTGTTCTTGTAAAAAGTTACAATAATAGGCGATGTTGATCTTTTTAAAATCACTATGGCAACTCTTCGAAGGTTAAAAATAGTAGTTGCGTCTGCGCTCACTTCTGTAACCGGGTCACACAAGTGGGAAGGGGTACACTATGGATGTTTCATTGCGCCTTTAAAATTTGGCAATAGATACTGTATGCAAAAAACATGAATTACACTCCATCATACAGCTATTTCGTCTTTATGTCTCGTCGGTGATGATAGGGGCCAAAAAGTAGGATATACAAATTGATCTAAACGACGGTTGAGGTAGAAGGGAAAGTGCGTTATATCCTTTAATTCCCAAACTTTTTAAATTTAAAAGTGTACTGGTTTAATTTTCAAATTAAATAATTTGTGTAGAGAGTATATTATATAGTATTAGATTAATACTAGTATGCGCAAGGCATTTGTACAATGAAGTATGACTATCTATGACTGACAAGGGATACTTTGTCTATGGTTAAAACCGTACTTATCAGTACTCTTACTTTAAGAAGGTTAATATCACCTTTTTTTCCCCAAGAAGAAATAAGAATACAGCCGTTTACATTTTTAAAAGTAAGTACTGACGAATCGGTCTGCCGAAAATTTGTGACCCTTACCTTTTTCGTATTAAAAGTGTGACCGTCACCATTTATTTTTTATTTTTTTTATTTTAACATATATCCATATACATGGTTGTAAAAATGTTTTATTTCATGCTACATCACTAAATATGTAAATGTATTCTATAGGCTCTCGATAAACGTGATAACCGTGCAAAATGTAATGAAATTCGAAAAGTGTGTGACCGTGTTCTCCGCATAAAAAACCCTAGAAAACACTGAAGCGTTTAGCAAAACTAGATGTATCTGGTCAATATATAATTGATATATATCACATCTAGAATGTTATCTGCCTTTCGCACACTTAGTGTGAAGTTCAGTAAAATACTTTAAACGCATTTTTTTACGGAAATCTTACCTCTGAAACGTCAAAATGGCGGCCAAAAGTTTGTCCGTGATCTCCGCCTGACGTAGGTTAGTAGACTTACCCCTAGAATTTACAGAACTCTTTGAGGAGATATTTGACCTTATGCTTGTGGTAACCATGGCCGGGAAAATTCAAATTGTGTATATTTCTGGCGAAGTCGTGGCGTTGTTATACTTTCAACTGACGTGCGTCGCACCGACGACAAAAACAGATAAATCGTATTCGTAATGAGTTCTTATTTCGTTTCATTGCATCTTTATATATATATATATGAATTTAATTCCAGACAAATCATATACATGAGAAACCGTCTGAGGATGGAAAACAGGTAAGGTCCTTTACATCAATATTCTCTTAATTAAGCATACGTATTCAAGTTTCATCATAATTAATATTCTGAGCAACTCTGTTCTACAAGAAGGCTTTGAATCAAAATAAATGTTTCTCACCAAAATTTCACTCATTTTTTTGTTGTTGTTGTAAATAACCAGTTTATCACTAATTTGAAATTTGGTTCACAAATATAACTTGCATAACATACGCCTAGAAAATTAAATTAACAATGAATTGACTGGAATTAATTGGAAAGGGGATTGAGAGAAAGTTTGGTTAAAAAGCATAAATTGATCGAGAAAAAGAGAGAAAGGGATAAGAGAGACTTAAGAACAATACGAGAGGTTTGGTTTGGTTTGGGTTTGTATTGTTTAAGATGCTTGTGTGTAGTGTATGCGTGTGTGTTTTGGGAGGCTGCGATATGTTCATGTTTGTCTCCTTGTGATAACGCGGAACTGATGCCGACTTTATAGTGCTACTCACTGAAACATACTGCCGAAGACACCCAGCAGGACACCCCACCCGGTCACATCATACTGACAACGGGCGAACCAGTCGTCCCACTCCTAAATTGCTGAGCGTTAAGCAGGAGTAGAAACTACCATTTTTACAGACCTTGGTATGTCTCGGCCAGGGGACAGAACCCAAAGCCTTCCTCACAAGGGCGTACGCTCAACTAAAGGCCAAAAGTGAGGCATTGTCAATGGAGACATTAGGAAGAAGAAAATTGTTAAGAAAGAAGAGAAAGAGGGATTCCCGACGAAAGCAATGATTATTCAAGAAAGGGTGATGATTGTTAATATATCAGTAAATGAAAACAAAAAATCAATAAACAATCCTGCAAGAAGAGGAGAGAAAAAAAATTGGTTTACTTAGTTTTCATCCACAATGACAATATTTCATCTTCATAATAAGTCATTAGCGTATCCATGGAGTGTATGAAAAAGAAATTGTCAATAAATATGCATTGATTTCTTATAGCATTCAAAGCAAATGTGCGGATTAAGAGTGAAAATATAAAATTAAAATAAATTCCAGGTTTTCGTTGGAACGACCTTCCTGCCTCTCCTACCCCATAAATCGGGAAACGTCGGCACTTCCCGTAATCGGGTAAGTATTAACATGTATGTCGTCGATGTAATGACTATATAACCGGAAAGTTCAAGAGCGTTCTTTATATTTAAAAAAAATAAAAAAAAATGGCGATTTAATGTTATACGGTATTGGTATTCCGTCTTTTCGTATTGCAGAGTTATCTGCTCTTGTGAGCAGGTATCGATTGTTACGTCATTAGTTTTTGTGAGAAAATTACGTCGTTTTCTCAAAAATTTATGACGTAACTCTCACAAACAAATGACGTAACAATCAATACCTGCTCACAAGAGCAGATAACTCTGCAATACGAAAAGACGGAATATTGACAAAAAGATCATTAACCTTTTATGGAGAAAAAAAACCTGGACTATCACGTAATCAGTATAAGCTTCTAGCTAATTTTATGCAATACGTGTAATATTTAGTGAGTAAATTATGGAATGAAATATTATTCATGCCCTTTTTCGATATTTCAGCTACATTTTGGTAAACTGGACCCGCGCCCATTGATTCGCCAACGAGGTATCACCCGCGATGCCATAGTGATAGCACGGAGAAAAAGCGAGCTTGCGTTGCCTGCCTCGAGAGACACGCTTATTTACCCATCCAAACCATATCAACAACCTCCTCCAGCTTTAGTGTCCGACAAATATGATGATTCGGATGGTAAGTCGGTATCATCGCTATGTTTGGAGCTACACATCAAGATGAGTGATATTAAATGTATATGAGGTGATAGAAGGGCGAAATGACATCATTGTTTTGTTTTCATTAAAAGAGGATATAGTCTAAGATTCTTGATGAGTAACAGCTATATTTCACGCGTGGGATGAATATTTCAGAATATCATATATAATATTCACCCAATATTTATATTTTACTCTTGAGTAGAGTATTTCTTATGAATATCAAAATGTTCATGTTACCCAACAAATACAACTGTTTTGTTATAAAGACACGTTCTCATGAACAGGTGGTCAAGTTACCACAAAAATGTTGAGATAATTGATGCTATAATGGAACAACAATATAATTAGAAAACGTCATAATTGACAATGTCCGTTATTAACATTTATCACATTAATCCTTGCGTTATAATTAGTCGTTAAATGCGAAAATAAACAATTTATCTATTTCTAACAATAATTAAGGAATAACCAAAATTAATTTTGGGGTTTTAACGATAGACCAAAAACATTATTTGAGTTGTTTCGGTACATACCGTATAATCCTAAAAATAATCATGTCTATCATTTATAATTTAATTTAAAAAACATTTATTAATTTATGTTAAACAAAAATGCACAAAACACCACATTGTGCAATAATTTCATTTCAAGGCAACTTCAACCAATCAGAAGTTAGAATTACAAAGACCGCGCCAAACATTCCGGTGTACAACGTCATCTCTTTCTGTGTTGTCTATTTTAAGGTTATATGCTATAACTTAAATAAAAGTTTAGCATTTTGGGGAATGGCCAAAATTAGAATATAAAATTATCAACTTTATTTTCAGTATTCAAACCACACTTTGCATGAGGTTTAAATTGAGTAAAACACGGTAGCCATGTCATAAATGTATTGATTGACTAAATTCCCGTTTTGTGTGATACTGATGTGAAAACTACAGATACCTTAATACCCATATCTACTGGATATGTTGCAATACGTCATCATAAAGTGGAATGGTAAAAGACACCGAATACTACTTCCTTTTAAAGGTTATTGACTATTTCTAGATCGTTTACTAGCTCATAGTGTTACACATCCTTATGTTTAATAGATACAGTATGCCAAAAAAGAATTACACTAAACTTAACGGTTTTGTCGTTCTAGGACTCATCCGTGATGCTAAGGGCCAACAAAAAAAAAAGGGGGGG